AAAATATCCTTGCATTAAGATTTTAATTTAAAATTACCAAATTTATAAATTTCCTAATTTATCTATTGATTTGTGGTTAATATTGGTTCTCACAGTTACCACAAACAACTCAGTTCTCCCTTGAATAGGCCCCTATATATATATGTGTGTGTGTGTATGTATGTGTACTTATGTATATACTTAATATATAAATTTCTGAAAGAGAATATATTGATTAAAATTAAACTAAAAATATAATAATTAATATATATTAAAATATTATAATTAATTAACTTAATAAACTTAAATGTATAAAAATATTAATACTTTTTTATTTTTTAGACTTAATTGCGGATTTGATCCCTACGATTTGTATGGTTTTACCAAATTGGTCCTTGAAAAAAGACAAAGAAAGAAAAATGCCGAATTCGTAGGTTCAATTCTTACTGCATGCATGTCCATCTTTGTCTCAATAGAGTTTTTTAGTGGCATATTTTGGTCTTCTTAACAATGATAAAGAAATAGTGGATTTCATTGTTTCCATGGTTAATTCTCAAACGGTGAGGTCTTCTCAAAGGACCAAAATGCCATCAAGATTAACAGAAGCATTGGATGGTTGGTAAAGTGAATAACCAACTCGCTACAAAACGACATACCTAATCTGTAATAAATGAAGTTTAAGAACCATTTTCGTAAAAACCACCAAACCACACGGAACAAATTCGTAGTGAACTCTTTTATTTTAATCACATCGTCCTCACGTTATTTGTTGTGTATAACCGGGTGTGATTGATTTATATTCTCATAAACATTAAACCCGGTTTTATCTAAGAATTAGGTGCGAATATGTTCTCAATGGCAAAAAACATGTGAATTTCCTTTTTCTTCATTCTTTTTATAAAGTCAAATTAAACTAGTTATATCCATAACGCGTTCATTCATACCCTTTGCTAGAAAGACTTCCTCTACGATCATTGCTAGCAAAAAACCGACTACTTGAAGAAAACCCGAAACTCGAAGCATTATTTTTCAACATCAAACCCGTTGATAAGAACGAAAAAGAAAATCAATAAATGTTTTTTATTAGTAATTGACGGGTGTCGAGTCCGGCAAATAATATAATTTATGAAAATAAGCCTATTATCTCTAAAACACAACTTGTGATAGCGATAAGTAGGGTCGTCTCCTCAGGGACTCGGTGTTAACCGTAAGTCCAAGACGTAAACGCGTGCAAATTCATTAACAATAAAACACTATATATAAAGAGGGGGGGGGGTTGGAAGATTGATAAAAAGCCTAAATATGCAAAATAAATTGAAAACTTAAACAATAACGAATAAATTCTAGTGATAAGTATAACTAGTTCTTTATCAAATCATGTATCATTAACTTGTATAAAAACATTTTCTTAATAGATTTTAGACCGGTCGTGAGTGTCAACACGTGCCAAACACTCCGCTTGTCTTTATAATTAAACTAGCACAAGAAGCTCGATAGATTAGTTCCTAATTGATTAAGTTGATTCTAGTCACGGACGTAAAATTCAACCTACCAATTGTCTTAAGCAATAAACAAGCACCAATCCTAACTAATGAACGGAAACCCGAACATTTAAACTAGATTACACAGTCCTATAATACAAATCAATAAACTTGGTTATCTATTGATGCACTATTTGCTACCAAGTGGAAATTAAGAACAATTACAGATTCCTAATCACAACTAGCAATTCAAATTTAGGCTAACGGATTCAAGGGATCCTTCTCAAAACCAAAATCTCAAACATGAACAACGGTCTGAACAAGAATTGTGCAAATAAAATTCAATTAAGTTTCAATGTTAAACAAGTCTCAACAAAATTTAATGCAATTTAGCTATAATCCCATCACTAGAAACAGAAAATCGGCAACTCATAACTCTATTTTGAAACAGAAATCGAACTTACAGATGGTAGAAAGCAGTAGAGTATGAAGAACTGAAATTGAGAAATCCAAAATCGACTCCAAAAATTCTGAAAATATGTTTACTGCTTCCTCTCGATTTCTGCTTCTGTTTGTTAATCGACTCTCCAACCGACAGCTTCTCACAAATTCTATCTACCTCTTTCGACTTCTGATTTTCTGCCCGTCCTCTCCTTCTCGACTTACAGCATCTCGATTACAATAGACAGCTTCTGGTTTGTTAATTTTTTGCTGCTGCCCTTTCAATTTCCTCTCTATCGACAACCCCTTTTCTCCAATCGAACAGCCTGCTGCTGTCCTCTTTGATCACTCCCAGCCTCTCGACTTCTCTCCTCTGATAACCTGCTGTCTCCTCTCGACTTCTCTTCTCAATCGACAGCTTCTTTCCTCTTCGATTCTCCCCTCGATTCTGCTTCTCGACAGGTTCTTAAATTGCCTCCCCATCTCTCTCAATTGATCCACGTCTCCCGTCTCTACCCACGCAAGACTGCCCACGATCTCCCGCTTTGTCTCTCGCTGCCCACATCTCCCTCCCGATCTCTCGTTCACGCTCCTGTCATGGACAGCAGCCTTGGGCTGCTGTTTCCTTTTTCTCTTCTTTTTGTTTTTTTGACAGTTGTTGGGCTGCTGTTTTGGGCCTGATTTTGGGCTGCTGCAACATGAGATCAAAATAAAATAAATCAATTTTTTTTCTTTCTTTTCCAACTTAAATGACCTATATAATTAAATATCAACTTGAATAAAAATAGACATTTTAAGCATCTAATTGGCATTAATCTCAAGGTACTTTGACGTAAAAAAAATGTATAAATTTGCACTTATCAGTAATAACCAGAAGGGTATTCGCCCAATGTAACGAAATATATCTTGATTTTAATATTTCATTTTATTTTTTATCTCAGTCGATGTTATAATATGGTCTTATGTGATTTTGAGAATTAGATGATGTTTTTATTTTTGAATAAAATATAAATTTAAAGATATCATAAAAATTTGACAAAAATATATCGATATTAGTGTCAAATTAACTACTTAAAATTCCTCATTTTTTGTGTAATTTTTTAATTTAATGTTTTATTATAATTTAATTTAGATACAATAACGAAGTAATTTATATTTGGTTTAATAATATAATTTTTTTATAAAGATGATAATTAATTATTTTGTTAGAACTCCAAAATTATCCTAATTATATTTTAAATTTTTTTATATTTTAAAATGAGATGTTTATCCTCTATTTGATTATGTTTATCCGTAGTTAGTCATACAAATTCAAACATCGAGCTTTAATAAGTTTATTTATGTATAATTTACTTGTAATCTTGAATTTTAAGTAATATATGCATCAATATACAGTATGCATAAAAAATAGTTTTTAAGAGTTTTTGTCAAATGCTTTATAATATAGTATAGAAATTAAATACAATAATTCATGGAGTAAAGAAATCTTATTTTTCTTTATTATAGATAAGAAAATACTCAAGATATTTCAGATAACGTTTGCATCCTCTATATTATCGCGGTTGTTGGGGCCTTTTGTTCTTCTTCGCATCTATTATTTTGGCACAAATATTTTTGGTTCTTAACTTATTAAAGTTAATAACTTGACTTTGTGATAATTTAAAAAATACATAGTTTTGTGACAAGTAAAATAAGTCAAAGAAAATATGGGGCTTTTCCCGTACTGCTTATTAGGTAATTAGCAACCAAGGGTACCGTGTATTAAAAATAAGGGTGGTTTTAAAGTTCTTCTCCAATGTAATTAGTTAATATTGTAATATATTTTTAGGCCTAATTATCAACTAAATTCCTTTTGGCTCGTATTATATGCTACATTTTTTTTGTTCTTGTTAAAATGGTATTATTTTAGACTACTGTTATATGCTAACGAAAATTTTTGGGGCCCTAATATTTTTGAGCCCTAGACATGCATCCGTGCCACCCTCCTCTTCAACATGTTACATCCACAATTTTTTCTAGTGTTCGTTTTCTCGTCATCGACACATACTTACGATAAGTTATGGTTTATTCTAAATGTTTCCCCTTCGTCCTTTTATAAGTTTTGCAATGCTTTAATTCATAGTAAATAATGAAGTTTCTTTTAATTCTTTATATATACAACACACAAGTAAATAATGAAGCTTCTTTAATTCGTGTGTTCGTTTCTTTATGTTTATTTATGTTCATTTGTTTACGTTCGTTTAACATCTTAACAAACGGACATAAATTAACACGAACAAACACATTTTCTTAACGAACGAACATGATTACCGTTCGTGTTCGTTTGTTTTTTCGGTTCAGTTAAACGAAAGTACATGGACAATCCTCCTTTCGTGTCCGTATGGTTCGTCTCTAAGTGAGATGCGCCCATAAACATATCTATAAGTTCGGGATCCAACAAAAAAATTAAGTAACAAATAATTATTCATGGATCCAACAAAAAAATTAGCAAAATTATAGAAAGAATGTACCAAAAGCCTTGGAGTTGGAGATGAAGCCACTGTTGTGGTTCTGGTGAGTTAAAACAACCTTGAAGCTCAAAAATCAAGAGGGTTGCTTGAAGCCTTAGAAAATACGTCAATTGAAACCCTTCGATACAACTGAAGCTAGCGTTACAAACATTCAGACATAACACAAAGAAACCAATATAGGAGAAAAAATTAAGAGGTATTCATTTCTATTTTTGCCTTTTGAAGAAAACAAATTAATGAGACCAATGGTTCTCAAGTTTTTTTGACATAACTGATGTAGGGATAGGGAATGCTAGAAGACTGTGCATGGTCCATGTGCGAGACGATAATGAGCAGATCGATAGAACCACAACTTTGCTAGTTATGATGGAGATCAGCTGAGAAAAGGTGGAACAATGGTGCTTTAAAAGCTCATGGTGATGGTGTTGGTGTTGGTGTTGGTGTTGGTGAAAGTATTAAACTTGGAGGAAAGTTGTATTCACTAAGAGACACACAAACTTTTATACATCATTATAACACAATGATTACATACATATATACAATACCATTCATAGCATCCATTCAACAGTGACGGTTGGAGATGGTGACTATGCAATTTGATTAACTACCATAATTGTCATATGAAAGTTAATTATACTAAATTAAAAGTCTAGTTTACTTAATTCCAATAGATGGGAGAAGTAGAAGAAAACCAAATGGAAAGAAAGAGGGAGAAGGAAGAACGGACTTGGATGATGGTTACTTGGCGAAAGTGGACGACAACGGATGAGAGAAAATGGTGAGGGGAAGAAAGAAATGAGGGAACAAGACTGGGGTCAGCCGAGTAGTAGCTATCGGTGGTGACGAGCTCTCAATAGCCAGGTGCCAGAATGGTGGTGGTGTTTGAGGTAGAGATCGGTGGCAAGGTTTGAGGTGGTCGACGGTAGATGGATCGAGTGTAGCAGCCAAAAGGCATAGCTGGTGGATCGGAAGAGATAGTGATCGAATGTAGGAATGATTACAGTGATGGGATGAAAAGAAAGGGGAAATGGTCCATGGTCTCGAGAGTGAGGGAATCGTTGATGGTGTAAGATGTTGGGGTGTACCAAGTGTAATGGTAGTAGCAGCGAGCATTAAAGAATGGTAGTAGCACCGGGTTGGAACGTTGCAAACGTCTAGACTATATACTTTTGCACATTGAAAACGTCTGCATCCACGACGCAAACCTTCCAAAATTGATGCCACTTTTTTTTTCTGTTGTCAAAATTAGATTATAAAATGGATTACAAATTGATATGGATTTCAGGTTACAATAAGAATGATCTACCAAATTCCTATAAATGCATAACGAATTTACTTTTTCTGCTATCATTGTTGTTCATCGTGCCAGATTAATGCTAGAGGTGGTCATCGAAGCGCCAACTGAACTGACTTCATGGGAATCTGGTGCTGCAAAGTACATAGGCACAGGCATCACCTTCGGAAGATTTGGGACTACACCCTCGAACTTGAGCACCTGAATTGCTTGCCGGATGGACGGCCTCAGACTCCGGTCCGGGTGCGCACACCATAACCCCACTGACATCAAACACTCGGCTTGTTTCACGTCAAATTTGTTTTTCAACATCTGGTCGACACCGGAAAGCAGCTCCTGTTTCCCAAGTAAACTCCAAACCCACTGAACCAATCCAACATCAGGATTTGTGACAACATTATCCATTGCCTTTCGCCCACAAGCGATCTCTAATGCAACAACTCCGAAGCTGTACACATCCGACTCTTTGCTGGCTTTTCCTGTTATTGCGTACTCAGGAGCCATGTAGCCTATAGTTCCAGCTAAACCAGTGGTGTGTAGATCCAATTCATGGTCCATGAGTCGAGCCAATCCGAAGTCTCCAAGCTTCACGTTGAATCCTGAGTCAAGCAAGATGTTGCTCGTTTTAATATCTCGATGAACCACACATTGTTCACATTCTTCATGGAGATAGAGCAATGCTGAAGCTAAACCAAGAGCGATCTTGTACCTCACAGTCCATTCAAGGGTATTCTTTTTGCGGAAGAGGTGAGAGTCAAGGCTGCCGTTAGGCAAAAACTCATAGACGAGCAAGAATTGTGTTTGATCATGGCACCAGCCAATGAGTTGCACCAAGTTTCGATGCCTTAAAATGCTAATGATCTTCACTTCAGCTAAGTACTCTTTTTTTCCCTGTTTAGAACCTTGTGAAATTTTCTTGACAGCTACCACCATGCCTTCACGGGATAAGTAACCCTTGTAGACACACCCAAATCCTCCCTCTCCCAACTTCTGATCATATGAGAAGTTGTTGGTAGCCAAAGTGAGATCGTGGTAAGAAAATCTTTTGGGTCCTGGGCCTCCTTCAAGATCATCGTTTATTGATGTCAAGGCAACTGTGTCTAGTGATTCCTGTCTAAATTTTCTTCGTATGCTCCAATATACAGTACATGCTACAAGGCCTCCTACACCTAGAACTGCAAGAGGGACTGTTAAGCCCACTGCTAGTTTCCTTTTAGAAGAATCTTCACTTTCCCCTACCATATTCAAGGTTGAACTGAACTTCCAGTGTCGAAGGACATGCCTCTCCAGAAATGAACCAGTGGCACCCGAAAATCCAATTGTTACCCACTCAGGAAGAGCTTCTCTCAGGTCAACCTGATACGAAATATTGTTATTTTCAGTATTAGTTTCAGATGGATACCGCCAAGATACGCTCAGCATCTGGGTTGTAGCATTGTAAGCAATTCTAGCATCCGCAGAACGTCCGCTATACAAACTAGCATTCCAAGGAGTGAGTGTAGCAGAACGACTCGAGTTCATGTTGATACCCACATGTCCAAATGAATGATCCGAATCGTTATTTCTGAAAGTATCAAACTCAACGACAACCATTTGGCTTCTGGGGGAATCAGTTGTTGTTGCGTTGAAGACGCCCAAATAGGGACCAGATGAGTTGAATGGGATTTCGAAGCCAACAGGGGCAAGAAAGAAAGCAAACCCATAGCCATAAAAGGGTTGGCCTCGTGTATCGACGATGAAAGTGAACCGAATGTTGAAATCTGTGAGCTTCCTAGATTTGCCGTCCCATATCTGGACTGCATGTGCGTATTTCACATGGCCAACTCCAATGCCACCATCGACTCGGTTCAACTCTACGTCTCCAGAAGCAACTACAGCATCACCTGAATAGACCATATCCGTTGTATCCGGCTCAAACTCAAGGATGTCGAAATATACAGATTCAGACAAGCGCAAGAAGAATAAGAAGACAAAGAGAATGATATGAACACGAATTTGGAGACCTGGAGATGATGAACACGTGAAAGTGGTAGCCATGATTAGGCCAAAACGTTAAATACAGGTCTGAACATGTACATAAATATCATCATGCCAAACCTGGCATATATATATATATATATATATATATATAAATAGAACGACTTGTTGGTCAACTCTGGAAAGATATGTGGTTCTAAATTGCACATGGAGAGTGCTGTGTAGGAGGGAAATGGTTACAGAAAAGTCTGAATACGATTATGACAGATTAATTCACTCACACGGCATCCGACCATTGCCTTTTTTTTTGGTGTGGTTATGATGAGCTTATGCATAAATGATATGGATGTGGATTGTGGAAAAATCTTGATACGACTTCATAAGAAGATACGTTAATTTTCTATGGAATTCAATAAAATAAGGTCGGAAAATATATAAAATGACATGTCGTTACTATGTCAATGTTTGTCGATGACCGGAAGATGAAGATAGTAAGTGGTGCAATTTTATTGTCAGTCCACATCATACTTTGGTCATTCCAATTTAACAATCAAGTTGTCAGAAAGGAATGAAATTTTAACAATGATATATATATATACGTATATTATATTTTTTAAATTAAATTATATTAAATAATTAATATAAATTATTAATAAAGGTCTTATATTTTATTAACATTGTCTATATCAAAAAAGATCCCACTCTATTGTCCCAAATTCATCGTTCATGCTACACAACTTGATCCGGAACAATCTTTAAAAATGTTAAAATAAAGAAAAATGATAAATAAATAAAAAAACTATTGTCTTTGATTTTAACATACTTGATAGACAGTCGTTTAATTGAGGATAGAAACTGCATACCATAAACACCAAATCCATAATAAATAACATCCGAGTAACAATTTTATAAAAACCAACATGCCACGTGGACCAATCCATAATTTACTCTTCATATGTTACGAGTTTAAATAATTGTATTTAAAATTGGAAATTTAAAATACTGAAAAAAGTTAAATAAAATAACTATTAAGTGGGCCAACACCAAAAAGCCATGTGAACACAAACACATTATATATGTCGGTATTGATGAGAGATGACCAAATGTGCTTCACCTGGTTCGGGACCGACGGAAGTCTGGAACTAGGAACGACTTAAGACTAGCTCGGCCTGGAACCGTTGGTTAAATATAGATTATGGTTTTCATTTAAAAACAAGACCCGGTTTGGGACCGGCCCGATTTTTTTTTTTAAAAATGTATTTTTTATATATATTTCTAGTTTTCTAAGTGTATTTGATTGGAAATTAAATTATAAATTTACAATAAAACATATTTTTTAAGTGTATTTGATTGAAAACCAATTACAAAACTATAATAAAACGTAATTTTTAAATGTATTTGATTGAAAACCAATTATAAAACATATTTTTCAAGTGTATTTGATTGATCTAATTCGACATTTTAAAGTGTAATAGAATAACATTAAAGTATTTTTAAAAATTTATAATAAAGAAATTTTAAAAAAATATATAAAAAGAAGATGTTTTTTTAATATAGGACCGGTTCGAGTCCGGCCCGGAACCAATACCAGTTACAAGTACCCTTAACCGGATCTTAGTATTTTCGACGGGATCGAGACCGATTACACCGGGACCAGCCCAGATTGTTACTGTTTCAGTCTAGGACTGATTTGGATCCGGTCCGGTCCGGAACCGGATTTTGGCCATGTCTAGTCTTGATTATCTCTAGCATTTTACCCTTTTTCGGTCGTTAAAGCTTCCAAACCGGCACTTCGGTGTTTTTACCTGCTAACTGAAAATACTTTTAAGTAGGTGTTTCGTTTACAGAATCTCATGGAATATGAGTAATAAAATTTGCATATATGTTTGGTTCAATGATTGAATGAAATAAATTTTCATCAAATTTTGTGAATTCGATGATTAATAGATTTGATTGGAAATTGAATTTCATTCCCCATACACTTTGTTCGAGCTTGGACTTTCAAACACCTCCATTTTAGCTACGGGTTTGTTTCTTTTTCTAATTAAAAACGTTTTTTACACCAATATTTTACATCTTAACCAAAAAAATTTGGTCTAACAGTATCCAGGTCTTTAACGCACTTTGTAAGAGAATAAGAGTTCAAACCCAACCATGGACAAAAAAATCCCTCATCACCAATCAAGCAATTCATCATCTTTGATCATGAATAATAGAACAAAACAAAAGGATTAAGAGAAGCAGTCGTGTTTATATGGATTCACCGAAGAAAATGAGGCAGATGGGAGGGGATATATGCATGGAGGTGTGCATCAGAGGTAGCCGGTCGGAGATGTTGTAGGAGAGGGGGAGGTGGGGGTGGTTTTCGTTTGTACGAGGTGCCGGAAACGGAGGGGTGGCGGTGGGCTATCCCCTACTATTCATCTTCTTGTACCAAAATAACACAAATCAAGACAACAAAACCCACATCGTTCACATTACAAAATACAAAATTTCTTTGGATTTGGTTTGCATTTTTTGTGGGTTTTGTTATTAATTTTCCAAAATCCATTTAAACAAAAAACCCACATCACAAGTTTTCTTTTGATTTGGATTGAAAAAAAACTAGAAAATCTACAACGGATCTATCTTTTCTTTTTCTTTTTTTTTTATTAATATGGATATCCAACCCGCTATACGAGCCGATTAATCCTAAGGTGACTACCTGCTTTGCAGATAGCCAGGAGTCACCGCATGCATTTGAACCTCTGTGGCCACAAGTGGATTTTTATTACTCATTAGATTTGAACATGAGACCTCCTGGTTCTTTTGACCTTTGGAGTCAAGCTCAAACCAATCAGGCACCATTCTTGTGGTTAAACCGATCTATCTTTTGACCGGATGTATTTGGGATTTGGTAAATCAGACATATTTGTTAAGCTCTCAACTTTTGTATGGGTTGAAATCACCATCTTCAAGCTATTTTTTGATAATGACCATTTTGAAGCTTTTGCTTTTGTTTATTGGTGGTTTTCTGGATGAGTGGAGGAGCACAAGGAAGTTCATCGGTAGCACCTGTAGTGTTTTGGTCGACACTAGTGGCCGGAGCCACGTTGTAACCAGAGAGGGCACATGCTCCCCCTGGAATTCTAAATTTTGTTTTTCTAGATATACGGATAATTAATGCAATTTTATTTAATAAAATAAATTCTTAGAGCCAGAGAGCACGCTTCCATGGAGATTTTTAGGTATATTAACTTAAATAATATTTTAATTAAATTCATGATTTTTTTCATAATTGTAAATTTATGTTTTTTATATAAACCAAAACGTTATGAATTTAATTAAAAACTTATTCAACGTCATTTATTTGATGGCAATTTGGAAACCATATTGGTGATATGTCTTACCAAAATATATATATATATATATATAATACATATACATGTATATATACGACACCAATCAATGAGGGAAGTGTCAATCCCTCGCAGATCAGCAAGGGATTTTCCTATTTTTTTTATTTTCCTGTTTTTTATGTGTAGGTGTCGTATGTATACATGTGTTATAAGTATATATACTCGTCGGCCCGTGTTATATACATATGTTTACACGATGATGTATGTGTCATATGTATATATACTCGTCGGTCCGTGTTATATACATATGTATACACATGTGTGCTGATTGCTAACCACGATTGGATCGATGTATATATTATTTAAGAAACATATATCGGATGATGTATATATGCTTAAAAATATGTGTATATGTGAATGTATAGATAGTATGTGTGTGTTATATGAGGCTTTATTCGATTTTATTGGGTCTTAATCCATTTACCGGGCTTTATTGAGTTTATCGGGCCTTAATGAGCTTTATCAGTTTTATTGAACTTTATTCGGTTTAATGGGCCTTAATGGACTTTATTCAGTTTTATTGAGCTTTAATCCATTTTCTTGGACTTTATTCGGTTTTATTGGGCCTAATGGCTAAATTCGGTTTTATTGGGTCTAATGGCTAAATTCGGTTTTATTGTGCCTAATTCATTTACCGGGCTTTCTTGAGTTTATTGGGTCTTAATGAGCTTTATTTAGTTCTATTGGACTTTATTCGGTTTAATGAGCCTTAATGGGCTTTATTCGACTTTATTGGGGCTTAATCTATTTTCTTGGACTTTTTTTGGTTTTATTAGGCCTAATGGTCTTTCTTCGGTTTTATTGGGTCTTAATCCATTTATCGGGCTTTATTGAGTTTATTAGGCCTTAATGAGTTTTATTCAGTTTAATGGGCCTTAATGAGCTTTATTCGGTTTTATTGGGTCTAATGGGCTTTATCCGGTTTTATTAATTAATTTTTGTAATATTCTAATAAATAACAAATAATGAAAAATTTAATAATTAATTAAATTTTTAGTTATTAAATAAAAAAATCAGCGAGGGATCTGGCCAAAAACAGATTCTCTCGCTGATCCCTCGCAGATCAGCGAGGGAATGTTCAAAAGCAGATTCCCTCGCTGATCCTCGCAGATTAACGAGGGAAATATATCTTTTCAGGTTTATGAGATTGTATCTGTATATTTATTCTATTATATTTTCTATCTTAGTCCAAAATCTTGTACAATAAGCCTTTTGACGTGTTCTTTGTCCAGTCCAATTATCAATCCTTTAGTGATGGTTTTATTTGGTGCGATAACCGGATTGTTAGTTGGTGGAAGTTTGGAGTTGTTTTTTAAAGTAGTTTGAAAGTTGAGGAGTTGTTTTTGAAAAATGGTTTAAAATATCCTACTTTTTACCGCCTCATTTTATATATATATATAGAGAGAGAGAGAGAGAGCGCTTAGTTCAAATACTAACCAAGAATTTTGTGTTAACTTTACTAACCAAGATCAACCAATCATATTCCATCTTTTCTTTATGTTCAAATGTAACTTATATATTAAATACAAGAATAATTAGGTAATTTGACATTTATGTAACTCCCAAATAATTAATTGGGAGTTACAAATCTAAAAAATCTCACTAATTGATCATGATGTAATATTGTATTTGATTTCATACGTGTTCATGATCATAATTTACAAATGATGTACTCCATATAATGATATTGTTTTCGTAAGTGTAAAAGATTTTCATATCGTCCAAGTAATATGGATAAACATATTGTAAAACAGATCGACAACAATGGAAATGACAAAGTTAAAATCGTTTATGACTACATTCAGAATTTGAATTCCGATAATGAATAAAATGATCAAAGCGTTCCTATTGGTAAGTGATTAGTATGACATTTGAATTCGTTTAAATGAACACATATCAAAGGCAATAGATGTTCATATCGATACATATGCACAATCACATCACATGAATATGAACAGTATCTGTGATTCATCTGAACACAAGCTTCGTAGGTGTTCATGTACATACAACAGAGTTGGCTACTGAATATACAGAAGATGTTTATACGGTTCACATGTTGTTCATATGTCTAATCTTTTTTGTTTGATGTGTTTTGAGGATATACACAAGTTGTTCATATGTCACACAAGTTGTTCATATGTTTGACAACTCGTATATCAAAGATAGATTACTTTTTACCTAAATACCCTTTGATACTTTGTTCACATATGTTAATTGAAAATAATAATTTAATAATTAATTTTTAAATATCATTAAATCACAACCGTTTATTATTCAAATTAACAGTCAAGATCAGTTAACAAAGTTAACACGATAATTTTGGTCAGTATTTGAACCAGCCCCTATATATATATATATATATATATATATATATATATATATATAGGTGGAGGTTCGAACGAAAACACCTCTATTTTACGAGAATATGAGAACACACTTATCACATGTGATAATACGCGTAAGGAACCCTGTGATATCAAGACGACGTGTTCTACAACATAGGCCGTGCCAAAAGTTGTTTGCGTCTATGATTTAGCATCACATGTGATGGTCTTGATGGATTATACTATTATATCAACAACACTCTTATCACATGTGAAAATACATATGAGGGGACTTAGTGGTATAAGGGAGACTTGACCCGCAACCAAGATCGTGCTGAAAATCGCTCGCGTTTCTGATTTAGTATCACATGTGTATCATATGTGATAGAATAATAGTATCACATGTGATTGTCTATAGTAAAAAGGTAATCTCACAATCTTGTAAAATGAAGGTGTTGTCGTTTGAACCCTTATATATATATATATATATATATATATATATATATATGGGCCTAATCAAATGAGAACTGATTAGTTTGTGGTAACTGTGAGGTCCAATCTCAACCACAAATCAACCATAAATCAACGGATAAATTATGAAATTAATAATTATGGTAGTTTGAGTTAAAATTATAATTAGAGAGCATATTAGGTATTTTTAAAAAAACTCTTCTCTCCTCTCTCCTTTCTCATCTCTCCAACCTCTAATCTCCGGTCTCTGATGAAATCGGTATCACAGTATATATCACAAATGGGTATCACATTGTGTACTACAATGGTATCACATTGTGTATCTTTATTTTTAAGGTTTGAGTTGGTATCATAGTTGGTATCACAATGGTATCACAGTATATCACAATGAGTATCACATTGTGTATTTTTGTGATTACTTGGTACCTG